AAACTAACTAAAAAAAATCACGTGCCAAGCTGTTATTGTTTATATCCTGCAGTTATAAATGTTTGTTCTTATGCTTCATGATGATTTAATTAAAGGTGTTTTCTCCACAGACTGTAAACAGAAAGAGGAGATAACTAACACGAATCAAAACTGAGAATGCTGGCACATGTTCTAACCGTTTTTTGGGTAAAAAGCTGCTTTCGTTTTGATAACTTATTTGTATGAAAGGGGAGTCATTGTGGTGCAACTGCTAGATGCTTGTTGTGGGCTTGAACGTCATATATTGAATTCGGCGTTGAGCAGGATCTTTTTTTTTTACAAATAACCCTGGGTGTGTACAAGGTAAAGTCTTAGGAAGTAAAGGCAGACTGGGTCTATTGATTACTTCACCCACCAAGTGCCGATTGATCTATAAAATGTATCTAGTACTCTATACCCAGTATACCTGAGAGAGTGGAAAAGTGTTGTTTTTGTTCTCATCATTATAATGTAGCAGGTCTTTTGCAGAACGTCGCTCTCATCATGGTCTCTCTGAAAAAAATCTCGGTTTCTGGCCAGCTCTCCCGCCTCATGTACTTTCATACTCAAGGAGTCACTTATATCCTGTGCCCATCTTTGTGTCGATATGCCCCTTCCCCTTCTTCCTGGTACCAAGCCTTCTGCTATAATTTTTTTCCAATCCGTTGTGGCGCTTGTTATGACCAGAATATTTCAGCTTCCGAGACAGGATGCTGTTTATTAGCCAATCTTTCTTTGTCCAAGATATTCTGAGAATCTTTCTATTGCATTAAAGCTCAAAAGACCCTATTTTCTTTCTTAAGGACTGGGAGATAATCCACGACTCACATCCGTATGCTGCTACAGGGAGGATGCACGCTCTCAAAATTCTTATTTTGATCTCTTTGCTGGTGTTTAACCAAAGACTTTTAAGGCTGTTTAATTCATTTATGGCCATCCTCCTTTTAATTTCTGTCAAACAGTCTCCATTGCTATTTATCTTTTCTTTCTACTTTACTTCATTTTTAGTCGTGTGATTGAAATAGTTCATTTAGAACTAAAAATTAGTAAAATAAAAAACACTTCTTCATGCCGTCACGTGTATTAGGCATATAGGGCTAGACCTATATTTTACAGACCAATCGGCACTTGGTGGGAATGCGCTCAGCGACACGTGGGCCGCCTTTACTTACCTGCACTTGAACCTGGTACCCGCTCAAGTTGGGTCGACGTGGGAGCCAATGTCATTATTGACGCAATATCTCCAAAACCCGTGCAATTTTACTTGTATCTAACTATGCCTCAATCCATTTAAAGTGAACATGCTAACTGTATGCTTGTAATCGATGTCTTTTTCTTCTTCACGTACCACAGATAAGGTGACATGAAAATACTGCATGTTTGTTAACACTAAAATTTTTAACAGATTGCATGCCAAATTTAATAACTTACAGAGTACAGATTTTTAAATGCGGGCACGACACTTGGAACGGCTTTAAAACATACAGTGTGTTCAATGTTGAATGGTGAATTAATATTCGACATCACACACTCGGAAAACTCCCATAAGTGCTCATTCCCCATCTTCAGCAGCAAGCGAAGAGTTCCAATTCCGATGGTACCAGTTACGGTCTGGTTGTATATTCGTCTCATCCTTTCCCTGAGAGTTGACTGTTGGCCAGATCCCCTGGTAACTCCTCGCAGCGCCATTCTCCTTAGACCGTAATGATCTATCTGCGCCTCCGCACTGTTCACTCGCTCCGAAGGGCTCTCATAATATCTAACTTGTCATACATCAATTCGCCGTCAAGTGGTGCTGAGCCAGCCGGTCTGTCCGCCTGCTCATTTCCCAGCACACCGGCATCAACTGGAGAAAATATCCGAAGGATGCTAACTACCCGGGACCTCTGAAGTGATTCTGGCCAGTCCCTGCACTCACGACCTAACGTGATCAAATCCCTACACAAGTCTGAAACTTATTGGGACACTTTGATCCCCTCCTCTCCTCGCTCAAAATTATCAAGCCTGCACACATGTCTGACAGTGTCTTCAGCTTGCGCTATCCAAGATCTAATATACATTATGTAAAGTGTAGTAGTATAGGGGCTGGCTGCTCGCCTGTTGACCAGTGCTCAAATTCAATCCAGTCAGATATTTTATTTTTAAAGTTGACTTTGGCCCCCAGGTCAACCCAACCTGATTAAAAAAAAAACTGTTCCAGGTGATGACCTGGGACGTACGCACGGCCGTTGTTATGATGACCGTATCACCAACGGTTTGACTATTACAAATAGTAACGTAGCCTGTCTATCTCGTATGCCAAGCGATAAAACATGGTTTTATTTGTACATATGTTTAACTGCAGCAAACCTCCTATCTCTCACCGTTCTCTCTTTCAGTTTCTTCACGTAACGGTCAGCCCAACTTTTGGTGAGTATTTTGACTTTGCTATCATTTATTATTAAATTTAAACATTTTTGCTGGTCCCCAAATAGTCCAATAA